CTGGGATTATAGGTGCACACCACCACGCCCAGCTAATTTTTGTATTTTTAGTAGAGACTGGGTTTCACCATGTTGGCCAGGCTGGTCTTGAACTCCTGACCTAAGGCGATCCACCCGCCTTGGCCTCCTAAAGTACTAGGATTACAGGCGTGAGCCACCGTGCCTGGCTGAAAACCTAAAATTTTTATTATATAAGTATCATATGTTTATTGCAGAAACTTTAGGAAACATACATTTAACAAAAGGAAGACAGAAGAAAGAAAAACCTGTAATTCCAATCCCCAGAGACAACAACATTTTGTACAAACCCTTCTGAACTTTCTTTTATGCCTAGGAACCTTCACACGTTGGTTTTTTACTGAAGGATCAAATCATTCCTAATGTCTGACAACCTCCTCCTTACACAGCTGTGAACAGAGTATCTCATCTATTGTGTCCATATTCCCATTTGACATATTGCCTTATAATGGTGTGTTTGAATGTGGTGTCACATTTTAAAATATGTTATAATAATCATTTCCATTTTTTGAGTGTTTACTGTGTGTCGGGCAGTGCACTAAGTATTGTGGACATATTATCGCATTTAAATCTCACGGCAGTGTAAGTTCCTATGCTTTTAAACACAAGGAAACTGAAGCTGCAAGAGATAAGGAACGTTCCCTGAATCACACAGCTAGTTAGGAGCAGAGTTTGAGTTTCAGCTCAGGTCTGGCCACCTTCAAAGCATTTCCCATAGGAAACTGTCATCCCTGGTAACGACATGCAGTGGTTTATTTAACCAGACCCCACTTCTGAAACGTTGCTGCCATTGTCCACCGTGCTGATCTGAATGTCCAGGGACATATGTCTGAAACGTTGTTACCATTCTCCACCGTGCTGATCTGAATGTCCAGGGACATGTGTATCCGTGCACTTCTCTAGCCGTTTCTCAGAAGGATTTCGTGTTCATCGGTTGCTTTCTGTGTTTGTCTGTGTTCCTCCTGACAGTGAACGTGAGCATGCTGAGGGCTTACTTCACATGCAGTGGCTACAAGGGCTATGAGCTGGTTTACGACCCCCAGAGCGGCTTCACCTGTGTGTCCCCGTGCAGTAGGGGCTACTGTGACCACGGAGGCCAGTGCCAGCACCTACCCAGCGGGCCCCGCTGCAGGTGCGTAGGGTCACGGCCAGGAGTGGATGAGTGCTGGGGAGCCCAAGCTGGGCAAGACCCTGCAAGGGCCCAGGAATTAGGATGGCTCCCTTTGAGATCGGAGAGAAATCGGAGGCCAGGGAAGAGGGACAGTGGAGAAAAGGCGGGTTGTGAGTGCCTGCTTTGTGTGGAGAAGAAAGGTGCTATATTACCTCTGAGACCCAGAGGAGCCACAGCAGGTATTAGAACCACTTCAAAGATGAGAAAATGGCAGCTGAGAGATGAGAAGGAAACTGCCCGGGGACCCAGTAGGTTAAGAGCAGGGTACGGTTTCCAAAGCCAAACTTTTTTATTTTTTAATTTTTGAGACTGAGTACCTCTCTGCCACCCAGGCTGGAGTGCAGTGTTGTGTTCTCAGCTCACTGCAACCTCTGCCTCCCGGGTTCAAGCGATTCTCCTGCCTCCACCTCCCCGGGAGCTGGGATTACAGGTGCGCACCACCACGCCTGACTAGTATTTGTATTTTTAGTAGAGACGGGGGTTTCACCACGTTGGTTCAGGCTGGTCTTGAACTCCCAACCTCAGGTGATCCGCCCACCTTGGCCTCCCAAAGTGCTGGGATTACAGGCAGGAACCACCATCCCTGGCCTAGACCCACGTTTTAAAGCCCACACCTGCCTCCTTTGCCCAGTGGTCTCTTCAGCATGACCTCAGGGCTGACTCAGTCTCTCTCTCCAGAGAGTGGGGCGAGCCCAGCCTCTCCTAGAGAACCTCCTCTGCCCCAGCAGAAGAAGAGAGGCTGGGAGGCTGAGCACCCGCCTCTGACCACGCTGTCTCTCTCTCGGTCCCCAGCTGTGTGTCCTTCTCCATCTACACGGCCTGGGGTGAGCACTGTGAGCACCTGAGCATGAAACTCGAAGCGTTCTTCGGGATCTTCTTTGGGGCCCTCGGTGCCCTCTTGCTGCTGGGGTTCGGGACGTTTGTGGTCCTGCACTTCTGGGGTTGCTCCAGGACCAGATTCTCCTATCCTCTGGACACGGAAAGCTGAGGCCTCACCTTGAAGGGGCAGCTGTGGCCTAGGATA